GGATTGTATTTTTTTTTTTTTTTTTTTTTTTTTTTTTTTTTTTTTTTTTTTTTTTTGTTGTTGTTGTTGCTGCTGCTGCTGCTGCTTCTTGGAAGCTGTGAATAAAAGGGGGATTTTTTATTGTCAATTTTCCTATATTGAAGTTCATTTCGGGAATTAACTATGCCTCTGTACCAAATGGTTGGTTATATATGTGAATCCTCTGTATCCCAGTATTCATAGGAGGGTCCATTACAGTAAAGACTTTTCTTTAAACAGAACCATGGTCGGGCCACTTGACTAGCTCGCACGACTCCACTATTCTACCAAGTACCTCCATCCTTCCACTAGTATAGGAACTGGTAGGCCACACCATTAGGTTATACTTAGACTATCTTTAGGATTGGGGGGGGGGGGGTAGCCTTTGTCCACTACCTGTGTATATATCACAAAAGATGAAGGGAGGATGGTTTTGTGCCATACCTCCCATAGAATTGAAGAATGATAAAAGTCACAGAATGTAAAATAAACTTCAAAGCTGAAATATCCTCCTTTACATGATCATCTGTGTAAGCTTTCAAAAAATAGCTAGGTAGTCTAAGTGCTATATACATAAGGGACTAACTATACTTTTGAATCATGTTCTTACCTTTAAACAATTGCTATGGGGAATCCATTATTATGCATCATGAATGGACTGCTTGATGGAAGAACTTATAAAAAAAATGGACTGCTTGATGGAAGTAAAAAGTAGAAACCAACTAGGTCTTTTCTTTTTTCTCTTTTTATTTTGGTTCAGTAGTAAAATATTGGTGTTTCTTTATATTTGATAGTAGAATGTCACACACTCATATGCACATGTTGAGAATGATTATTGATCTAGATTTTGATATTTTTATGTTTCATAAGCTGTCAGATTTCTGTTGTAATTTTTTGAAATTTGGATATTAGTTTCTGGTTCAACATTTGTGAATTTAACAAACTTTTGTCTAATGCAGGTTCATTTACTCAACACTTGGTCTTGGAATAACTTTGTGCGTAGTCACGTGCTCGGGTCACATTGCTGCAGAGACTGCTAGTGGCTGTTGCTTGTATATTGTATCCTTTTCATTACTTTTCTTTTAATTAATGTAGGTTATTGNTGGGGTCAGGGCAGACACGAGTGTGTTCCGAGAAAGTTACTTGTACAAGCTTCATCCTACACTATTGTAGTAATTAACTAGCGGTTCAGCAGAGCAATGGAAATATTTTTACTGATTTCACCTTCTAGGATGGATTTGTGTCGATATTTCTAGCTTGGAAATATTGGGGGTGGGGGGTGATGGTCAGGTAGACACGAGTGTGTTCCGAGAAAGCTACTTGGACAAGCTTCAACCTACACTATTGTAGTAATTAACTAGCGGTTCAGCCGAGCAATTGAAATATCTTTACTGATTTCACCTTCTAGGATGGAATTGTGTCGATACTATTTCTAGCTTGGAAATATTGATCTGCATAATCTTCTTATACTACTAAGGAGAAGAAACAATACTCTTGTTCATGACTTATTTCAATGGTTCTTGCATGTGACTCAGTCTTTTGTTTGATAATGTGATTTTCAATTAAGAGGAATCATCATTTTGTTTATGATTCCCATTTCTATTTTCGTTGCAGTTTGATATAACGTTAGCACCTGGGATTGAGGGTAGGGCAGGAAAGGATTTCCTTGAATGCTTGTGCAATGATGTAGTTGGATAAATTAACTTAAAATTAAAACTTGTTGGTATCATCAGTTGATCAGCACAAACATGGGAGTTTTGGTATCCACCAGTTGGTCAGAATAAACATGGAGTTTGTATTTGGGTATTTAACCAAATAGGATCATCTGGTTCCTCTAAAAAGGACCTATCACTGAAATGCCCCTATTATGGGGTAAAATTTAGTGGAGAGACAGGTTTTCCCTTTAGTTGGGAAATGAAGCTATAGCCCCGGATGATATCTATCAGTTGATTTTCTTGGTTTACTTTTGCTGCCATTATCCTAGATGTTGAGGTTGATATGCTTTGTGCATTATTAGCAAGTAGCAACACAGGCAGCCACTCAAAATGTTGTCAATGATCTATACTGATTGGTGAAGCTATTTTAAAAGATTTTAAGCACCTTCATGGTAAGTTAGGGATGGGGGCTGCACCAAGGGACTCTTTTGCAATCACCTTATCAAAAAAAAAAAGGGACTCTTTTGCAATTCATGTGCAAAAAATTGTAATTAACTGTCATTCGTCATGGTTATGCTCTTTAACCCTAGTAAGCTTTCTTCGCTTTCTAGATTGTTGCTTAAAGTGTCATTGTTGCTGCTACTTTTTTAGCTTATCTTTTTATTTGATATTAATCCTTTTGCCCCACAGAAGCTTGAGAACTTGGACTCTGCTTTTAAGATTTGCTATGGGAGAGTTGGAATGATTGCTAATTTGAAACTATTAGGATTAATATAAATGTACTTTTTCTCATTCAACTTGGCAGTAATCAGAAGTGGTCTTTTTTCTTTAAGATTCTGCAGTTAAGTTGCTTAATATTCACTGTACCGTCTCTGGGTCTTGTGTAAGGTGATATAATCATATAAACCTGCATCCTGGAGTGACTATTCAATTAAAACAGTGATGTTTCTCCTTAATTGGTATAGTACATGGTTTTTGTGTTCCTACTTCTCATGATAGAAGCAGCTGTGACAGTAGACGTATTCCTTAACAGAAATTGGGAAGAGGTATATGCATTAAAAAATGCACCATGGATTTTGATCTTATATATTGAGCTTTTAACAAATCTTTTATATTGATTTGTATTCGAATTGACCTGATCAGGACTTCCCTGAGGACACAACTGGGAATTTTGATGAGCTCAAACACTTCTTGAAAGAGAACTTTGACATTTGTAAATGGGTAGGCTTGTCAGTAGTGACTGTGCAGGTGGGTCTCCTTCCACACTCATATACCTCAATACTATGATAAGTTTTTACCTGTTTCTTATTTGGCAATATAGTTTTTCAACTAAACCCCGTTGATATGATTTAATCATTAGCACAAATCGCTGTTTGAAGCTGGTGAGATAAACCTGTTCCAAGTGATTGTTATGCTTAAAGAGCCTTCTTTCTAGGCCATTCCTGCCTCACTCCATTCTTCTGCTTTCTATTTTGAGAAGTTCTTCTCCATGCAGCCTTGCATCTTATTTTGCTTATTTGACCACTGCCTAATATCTTTCCACGTACAGGGGTTAACTATATTATTGGCAATGATCCTCAAAGCTCTAGGACCACATCCGGAAAGGTATCATTATGAGAGTGATGATGATTATATTCCAGACAGAGTCCCGCTATTGAAGAATTATGTTCCTTCACCTTCTTGTGTTGTTGGTGACCCTGTGTATGGATCTAAGAATGATGCTTGGAATATCAGAATTAACAGCAAGGTAGGATTCATTGGATAAAATTCATTTAGGTGATCTATCGGAAAGATATTTGGATTTGATGATATTATGATTTCTTGTTTTGTAACTAATGTGCAGGCAAGCAGATGAGCTACACTTTCTGTTGGTCAATCAGCAAGAACTGAAATTGCGTTACAATTGTAATCACTGTGCAAAATATGTGTAAAGTTGAAGGTGGAATTCACATGCTTCTGACGATTGGTAGAATTCACGTTAATTTGTGCAGTTCTTGTATATTATGATTCTATATACTCTTACACTTGTGTAGACAATGTGATAATTTAGCTATCAAGAGTCCAAAAAGTCTACTTCAGTTGCTTTATGTTTCATAGTAGAATCATGCAGTTTACCAGGATAGAGAGTAACGTACATCAAACGACTGTTAGATGAAAAATATAATCTCATCATTCTCTTGCTATATATGGTGGAGGACCAATCAATTACACTTGTTACAAGTTGAGACTGTTTAATTATTTGTGGTACTACTTATTGTTTGGTGTTCCCTTTTGTGGACTAACAATCAATCATACTTGTTATAAGTAAAAGAGGAGACCGTTTAGATCTTCCTAAGTACTAATTACCGTTGGTGTTTCCTTTTTGCACTTTCTGTGTGTGTGAGAAAGCACTTGAAAAGAAAATGCGTCTATTATTGAATTCACCTGCCCCGCCTAAAACTGGTAAACCGATAATAGTATTTGGTGTGCATTACTTCTGTAGTGTTAAAATTTGTTAGGTGATATCCGACGAGTGCAAAATCGGTGTATAAAACTTAGGCTCGCTAGTCAAAGATAGTATAGTATTAAATCGTCTTCACAGAGATTGGGTTAAATAATGTTCAAAGAAATTTTCAGCTTAACACTATTCAGGAAAATCAACCTTTGATTTTGAGTTATTAACTATTTAAGAGTAAAAACTAAGATTCTCAATTGTGAATGAATAATGGGAATTTAGTGATAAAGTAGTAATGATTGAATATCAAGATGAGAAACAAAGGCTTTGACAAGATATGTGATTAACTATTACTATATGCAACTTATTGTTATGTTCACTTTTAACGTCTATTGACTCTTCCGATTTCAACAAATGATTAGGCTATCAGGAGGATTCAAATTCTTCTTTCGAATGAATTAGAGTGCGCTAAAAACCTAATGATATGTGCTATGAAACTATGCAATAATATGTTGAACGAATGATCTTACGAAGAACGTCTCTCGATTATTCTTCGAACTTGGGCCAATTAATAACTCTTTAAGCTCTTTCGATTACCTATGAGAGTCGTGAAATCAACCCAAACAAGATAACACAATGCAAATTGCAGCCACACTTCTCTTTCGATTAAAGTAAAACCATAATTAGCCTTGCTATTCAATTAGTAACTCATTCAACGAATTCAGGTAATTATCACAAAGCAAAGACAGAACAATAGTCAATCATAATATCTGTTAATAACCCTAAGAAAGATTACTCCATAGTGGAGAAGTTGTTTATCACAAGAGTATTAAGAGAACAAGAAAACATTACAATCCCCAAAATCAAACAAACTTGCGTATTTAATGAATTGGATGTACTATTTAGAGTCTATATTGTTTTCTTGCCTTCTTCTCTCCAAAAGTTGCTCCAAAGTCCCCCCCTTGTTTGGGGATGAGCTAGGCTTCATATAGGTCAAAAGGTTGCCTCCAAAATTATAAAATTAGGCCTGAGTCGAATTCCCGGAGACGGACGTGCGCCCGCGCACCTCTGGTAGAGTTCTGTAACACTTGCGCGCTCAAGTGTGCGCTAGGGGTCGCTCGTGCGTGGCCGCGCACCTGGGATTTCCTCTTGCTCAACTTGTTTTCCTCCCACTAAGTGCACTATTCGTCCATTGATCCCCTATGCATCACCTGCACAGAAAGACAACATATTAGACCCAAATCATACCAAATCTCCATCGAATTAACCCATTCAAAGACGCAAAGTGGGCATAAATATTAAGTAGCTTTAAGCTCATCAAACACCCCCACACTTAGCTTTTGCTCGTCCCGAGCAAATCTAAAATGAAATTGCTCCTAACGCTGCCACCACCTTAGACAAGTGGCCGGCCAAGATGAACTTGATTCCATCCTGGGGTCACAATCAACCTCAACCCCGGTCATGACATTCCACTAGTGATATGGTCAAATTGGCACCAAATCCTCGATACACCTCACAATAAAGAGACAATTCCCATTCACACATCAATTGCAATTAACGGCCCAGGGCAGTACACAACAAGCGCTCACCCTCACAAAGAAGTGAATCATGCTTTCAAGAGTACCATAAGCTTGACTATCGTGTAACTCTCCACTAATGTAGGAACAACCTCATCTAGATCATGTAGGAATTTGTATTTGATTGTAACATAGGGTATGGGACGGGTTGGATATAATCTGTATAAGAGTATCTACACCTCCCTAAGCACTTTAATACCTACAACACTATCAAAGAAAGCCTACAGTCATCTCCAAACTCGGCTATTACCTAAGATTTCGCCTTGAGTCACAACCAAGCCAAGTTCTAGACCATGTCAAGCATAATCACTAAGCAAATATTTGCCTCACCATGCATGGCGTCTCGGATAGGCACACAATTCATACTGTAATCACCAATGGTCTCTCTAACTTACAAGGGCAGGATCATGCATCCCACCAGTCAGGCACAATCAACTTTGCCAACCACAAGAATATTTTCAAAAATCTAAAATAAAGAAATAATAAAAATCTACCCTAAAATGTGTCTGGTTCAAAATGTTACGACCATGGTAAAAAACCAAACAAGAAACCCATGGAAGTACAAGTGAAGAAATTATCCTAAAACATTTTAAGAAAATATTTTATTTTATTGCCTTTTTTTTCAATAGGAAGCAAATTAAACAACGCTATTCACACTACCCCTACCCCCACACTTAACTAGTGGCATGTCCCCATGTCATAAAATTAAAATGCAAAGGTGAAGAAAACTCCCCTGATTTAGTCATTCTATGTCGGAGATGGTGCCGGGGTCTAGGTGACGAGCCCGGCCAAGTGCACGCGACCATCCCATGATCTTCTTCTCAGACTTGGCATTTTGAGTAGCAAATGAGTCCACTCGGGTTCCCAATCATTGACAGAAGTGTGTATCCCCGCCATCTCCTGTTCCATGGCAACCATTCTCGTTTTCCATATGTAGCTTGAAGGTTCTCCAACACCCTGCTCATGCGGGGTGGTAGCATTAACATCCTCTTCGTGCACCTCCCTGTCCTCGACGGGTGCATCAGACTCCTCACTCTCCACCTCAGTAGCCACAACAGGTTCCTTCCGAATGATAACTTTATAAGCACTAAATTTCTTTTCTTGCTTAACCTTCCCATCCATAGCCTTATTTTTTGGTACCCGTGCCTCACGACATAACCGAGTGACTAACGACGGGAAAAATAACCCATACCTCTGCACCTGACAACGAATTGTCATCTCATCTTGAATGACCTTAGTCACATCAAATTTGTGGCCAATGATAAAGCACTAAATCAGAGGAGCCCGGGGACCATTCACCTCAGTTGTGTTGCTGGAAGGCATTAGGAGGTTATTAATGATATATAACCAGCACTTCCCCTCAAAAGTGAGTGAAGCAGAGTAAAATTTATGGCCCTGGATTAACCACACCACCTCCTTCCAAGGCACACAAATTGTCGCAAAAAACGTGAGCCACGGGTATGGTTCCCTGCTATGCGCCAAATAGTAGTCGTCTGCATCGGGGTGTTCCACGTACTCCGGCAGGTGATAGGCCCTTTGGATAGCCTCCTTGGAAAAATTCACCTTTTTTTTTCCGGACTGTACACACGCAGTCCTCATGTTCCCTCGTCAGCTCCTTCGAAGAATACCCCCTTTCCTCGCCTGACCAATTTCTCATGATCTCGGTAACACTCATTGAGGAGAGACCCGATGTCGATCCCCCTTTTAGGTATTGGATTTTTGCCCGCCTTGCTATTAAATTGTTCTTGGGCTTCCCAGGAGACAAACTTGTTTTGATCATATGGGCGAGAGAATGCAGAAACTCGCGACCTGGACGTGCCACATGTGTATCTATGGACGTGTATGCTTGCCTACCAGTGGAGGCACTAGAAGTTTTTATTTTCTTGGAAGGGGCCATTTGCACCTGAAACAACCTGACACATATCAGTAATTAGATCACTCTACGGACCAAGAAGGGCTACTCAGACTTCACCCGAATAGTGGTCACAAAAATACACTTCTATATCCATGGGAAAGACCCACCCCGAATCAGTAGAATACACCCCCATTATCAGTTCACCCAAATTAAGAGCATAGATTATTATCGGGTGAGCAACAGATTCTAGAATACATCTCTTTACCTCATTGTGGCATTTACACAAACACCTAACATGAAAAGCTGCTCCTATACCACACAAAGTAATTTTAGCCCTAGGTAGACTACATACACACCAATTCCACTACCTAGCAACCATACTCTCAGTACCATTGGTGAAACCCCATCTTCAACCCCACAATAAAAGGAAAAAGAAACGAAAAATAAAGAACTATAAAAGAAAAAGGAAAAAGAAAAACATGGAAAAATAAAGTTACATACTTGAGGGGTCAATTGGAAGAAGCTGACTTGAGGAAGAGGGAATGAGAAAGTAAGGAAGCGGGTGTGTGAGGGTGTGTTTGGTCGCAGAGAGAGAGGGATATTGGGGCGGGTTAGGGTTTAGTTTGGTGAAAGATGAGAGAAAAGGGGAAAAGATTAGAGGGGGGTTCAGGGAAGGGCCGAAAGTAAAATATTAGGGTACTTACCTGTGCGTGGTCGGGTCCTCCCGTGCACGACCGTGCACACATGTCAGAACACCGGTACACATGCGCGGTTGGATGTGCGGTCCTCCCTCCAGGTGCGCAGCCGCGCATCTCCAAGCGTGCTGACGTTGTATTTTGCGCGATCAAATATGCGGTGCACCCCACCAGGTGCGCGGTTGCACACTTATACACGCACAAAGTGCCTTTTCAAGGTCTCAATTCCGCCCTTCCACAATAAATACCTTATTGCAACTATCAAGTCGTAATATACACTAACCTTTACCTAGTCTATGCTACAAAAAAAAAAGAAGAGAAAAATTAAGCTAGTAGAAGAGTTAGAGGTAGTTCTGAGTTATAGTCGTTAGCTTGACTCAACCGACCTTCCTCAACTGATTATGATGCTCGAGGATTGCTGGGCAAATCCTCCAGCAAGATATGGTTTTAAATTGTGCCCATTCACTTTAAAACTCTCCGTTCCGTCCATGTTCTGGATCTCAATCGCCCCATATGGTGATACATGTTTCACCACATACGGTCCCGTCCATCTAGACTTAAATTTTCCGAGGAACAATCTGAGTCTACTATTGTGTATAGTAAAACCTTTTCCCCTTCATGAAATTCCTTTGGTTAAATCAGACGGTC